ACCGAGCGGAGCAGCTGGTCGTGTGAGTGGGCTCGCAGCTGCATGTCGACGCGCAGCGCGAGGCGGCAGCCGCCCGCCGACGCGGGCGAGAAGGTCCACTCGCTGCGCATCCGCGTGAAGAGCCGCGCGTCGAGCGCCTCGGCCACAACTATCGCTGGCGACGTGCCACGCGAGAGTGTCACGCGAGATGTGTACTCCTCGGAGAGGCCGAGGTAGCCAATCCCGAGCACCGCATCGAAGCGGTCCGGCCCGTGCCTGCGCACGATGCGGCTCGCCGAGCAGAGAGGCACAAACTCCGAGTAGAGCTCGACGTCGGCCACGATGTCAAACAGGATTTCGGGAGCCCACCCGACAACCTCCTCCCGCTCGAAGCAGCGTGCGGGCGGCTTGGGCAGCCAGGAGTCGGAGGCGCCAAATATCGACCTGCGGAGGTGCAGCCGCGGCAGCATTCGGCTACGAAGCGGTCGGTGCCTCTGCAGTGCGCTGCAGCCGCCCCGAAGGAAGGACATCTGGATGCTCCGTCGTTGTCTCGCACGGCATGCGGCCGACAGTTGTTCACGGCCTAGGCTTCGGTCGCCGCGTCGGTGCGGCGGTAACTAACTCCAGGAACCCTGTTCTACTGATGTACCGTTTGCACCGTTTGCACCGTTTGCACCGTTTCTGGGCACGTTCTTGCTCGCCGCCATCTGATGAGCTCGGGTCAGGAGGTCACGTGGCCGATGCCACCCGTGCAGATTCTGTCCCGCCCGTTCGATCGATGCCAAAACAACTCTCTCTCGCTGCCATGAAGGTCATGCTCGCGTTTCTCAAGCGGCAAACTCATGGAGCTGGGCTCTGCCGCCGAGGCGCAGCGCGACATGGAGCAGGGTTGCAGCCGGTCACCTCCATGATCTATCTATCTCGCGTCGCAGCGGGCTGGGCGGCTGGCGAGCACATACACAGGAACGAGTCGGCTCCTCGACTGCCTCCGGCGACGTCGACCGAACGCCACCTCGTGCCCGAGTCAGCGCGGCATCTCAGCGGATCTCGGCGCTGTGGCGAGATAGCTGTGTCCTCGTCGGCGCCGGGAGGGCCGTGGGGTGTTGGAGACGCGCGGGAGGGGTGGGTGGTGCTCAGGAAGGGCCCCTGGACGCGAGATATAAGAGGTACCCACTCGACGAAAAAATCTCAACACCCCGACTTGGCGCCTTCTGCTCTGTGTCGAGTGACGCTTTTTTTTCGGAGAACTGCCTGTACGAACGAGTCCGGAGACGGTCTCAAGGTGCGTGCGGCACGAAGATCACGTGATGTGCTCGGTGGTCGTGCGGCAGGAGGCGTTTCCGATGGCAAATGTACCGGCGGCGTTGCTGTTCGAGCAGCACCTCCTATCAGCAGAGTCGCAGGCCTATATCCACAGCTTTCGGGACCACGGGCACGACGGACAGCTCTGGTTCCCACGAGCGGTGGACAATATCGGACATCCGCTGTATCCTCCGTACCCGGGCGAGGATCCAGATGGAGCGAACTTTACGTCGACTCGCTCGTGCTCACCGGATGCCGCTGCGGCAGGGGCAGCTGCAGCCGCTGTGGGGGACGATGCTGCCCCGACTCGCCCCACGGCCATGCCACACGTCCCTCTGCCAGTACTTCGTAGCGTGACCTCGCTTCCGGGGAGAGGCATGGACGTGACGCTGAGTGTCGATGCAGCGCGCTTCGCCGGGTCGCCTCTTCACATGACGACGCGCTGCTACAATGGCTCCTTTCCCGGGCCGGTGCTGCGTGTGCGGCGAGGCGATCACGTTCAGATCCATCTCGTGAACAACCTACTGGCTAGCGGTGGCCACGGTGATGACCTGAACAGGACGAACCTGCACTTGCATGGCATGCACGTACCAGCCACTCCTTACGAGCAAGCATCCAACTCATGTGGAGACAACCTCCGCTGTATCGTCGAGCCTCAGCACACGATTACGTACCGGCACAGGGTAGATGACGACCACCCGTCGGGTACCTTCTGGTATCACCCACACCCGCACGGCACCTCAGCGCTGCAGGTCGGTGGGCTCATGGCCGGAATGTTGATTGTTGAGGACGAGCCCGAGGAGACGCCGCTGGCGGCGATGGTGGAGGTGCTCCTAGTTTTGCAGATGCAGCATTGGCACTCGCTCGGTGTCGCAACGCACGACACAATCCACGCGCAGCTGCACGATGCTCTCGACATGGACGTTAGCGGCGGCCCCCCAGCGAATTACATCCTCGCCAACGGGCAGTTCAAGCCGAGCGTCTCTCTCTTGGCCAACCAGTACACCCGGTTTCGCGTGCTCAATGCTAACGCAGTGGCGACGTTTGAGCTCGAACTCACACGTGGCAGTCACTGCAGCATGGACGTGCTGGCTATGGATGGAGTCTACCTCGCACGGCCAGCGCGCGTCACCCACGCCCTGGTCCTCGTCCCGGGAGGTCGGGTCGATCTGGCGCTCCGCTGTCGTCGCGCTGGCAGATACGTACTCAGGTCCGAGACGGACCCTGCGAGGGACGTTGCGATGGGTCGACACGCAAGAATCTCCCAGGACATCTTGATCCTGGCCGTCACAGAGCCTCAGGCTGGAGCGGCAGAGCTGCCGCTGCCGAGCTCTCTACCTCTTCGGCCTGTACACATGCAGGAGGATCTACGGCTTGGCACACCCGACGAGACATCCACCATCACTCTCGGCGATGGGCCCAACAGCGACGCGTATCAGATAACGATCAACGGGCATGTCTACAACGATTCCTCTCCAGGCAACACGCAAGAGATTCGGTTGGGCGCTCTGCAAGAGTGGCGCATCCGCGTGGGTGGCGCGAGCATGCATCCGTTCCACGCTCATCGGATCCACTTCCTTGTCGTCTCGGTGGATGGGCCGGCGGAGTATGGGGCTTTGGTCGGCGTCGGTCAGTGGCGCGACACCATTCCGATCCCCGCCACGAATAGTGGGGCCGTGATTGTGACGGTTCGCTTCCGGGCACAGCGTCACTGTGGTGATCTGCCGTTTCACTGTCACATCTTGCACCACAGCGACCTGGGGATGGCGGCCCGGCTGGCGGTCGTCGGGACGGCGGCGTCGAAATGCCTGCAGCCAGCAGTGGACACCGCAGCATCCCAATACTGTGGACGCGGCACTCATTGGTGCGCCGAGGCACAGCGTTGCATTGCGGACTTGCTGACTGATCACGTGCTGTCGCGAGCGGTTTCGGTGCTGCTGCTGCTCGTGACGTTGGTGTGCCTGGCTGTGCTGGGGGGGACACGGGCGCGGACGAGGAGGAGGCTGTGGTGGACAAAGCCGATCCAGGAGGGGGCGCAGAGCTTGGGTGCTACTGAGCTAGCCACTGAGCCAGTGCGGCATCTATTGGATGCCTACCTAGGGAGCTGTTGGGCCGTTGTGTGTGTGTGTGTGTGTGTGTGTGTGTGTGTGTGTGTGTGTGTGTGTGTGTGTGTGTGTGTGTGTGTGTGTGTGTGTGTGTGTGTGTGTGTGTGTGTGTGTGTGTGTGTGTGTGTGTGTGTGTGTGTGTGTGTGTGATTTGAACACCAACAAGAAATCGCCGAGGGAAACTTTCTTCCAAACTTAGACCTTAGTGCCAAACGACGAGAATCGGGGCGATTGATCGAGACTGGTAGCGTACTTCACAAACGCGGTGTACTAGGAGACCAAACTAGCGTGCCGGAAAGCGGGCGGAGCAGCTAAGGCGGACTGGCTAAGGACCACACGTCTTGCTTGCGCTTCCTGTGACGCGCTCACGAGTGTGTCGAATGGAGCTTGGGCCGCTGGATCAAGATATTCGCGTGCGCCACAACACACAACACAACGCAATTAACCCAAGCAAGTTGCATCCATCAATCACCGCAGAGAACGCTGTTATCAATAAGCGGGCGCCGCATCGAGGACCAAGGGGCCGCACGCAGGCCAATAAGCGGGGGCAAGAGGCTCCAGGCCCTGATGGCCCGTGAGGTTTCAGCAGAGCACGTGAGCAAGAGCCTGCTCTGCGTGCGTTCCGAGTTGAGGAGAGGCCGAGGCTCAGCATCGCGGCCAGCCACAGCATTGAGGGCGGCAGAGGGCCGCAGCACGCTCGCAGGCAGCCGGCTGCTTCGAGCGGGCGCCCCCAGCTTCGAGCGGGCGCCCCCAGCTTCGAGCGGGCGCCCGGGACGGGTTCCCCGCTTCGAGCGGGCAGATGCGGCCGGGGATTCGCTTTCTGAAATGTCTGCCTCCAAGGAGGAAACGACTAACCTGATCTCAGAATCGCTCGTTTGTGGTTGCCTCCATGAACGGCGGAGCTATTCTCGCGTCCACACCACACTTGGCTCCAACGTGGACACGCCCATAGCTGGGGACACTACTAGGTCACGCATGGCATCAGAAGTTTTGTCTCTGGGCCCCGAAAGGCATCTCTAGCAGCGTCGTTACGCATGCGCCCTCCCCTCCTGGGCGCATGCGCCTCACGTCTCGACAGAGCATAAGCCCTTGGCGTGTGACGAGACGAGTTTTTCGCCATCGCAGCGAGCAGCAAGCCACTCGCCAGCAGCAGCCGGAGGCATCGCCGCAGGCACTGTCTGCGCCGCGGTCCCGCACCCGTCGACGAAGCTCCCCCCGCGGAAGACTGCGCGTACACACACGTAATGTGCGGCCGCTCCAGCGCACTTGGAGCACTTGGAGTGCAGTCATCAACCTCACATCCAGGGCCGGGGAGCTGAGCCTGAGGAGCGCACCCAGCGGGCCGGATGATTGATCGGTATCGGGTTGCGGGCAAGAGAGCCCTAGCCCCGGGGGTGCGCGTTCGCAGGGAAAGGGCCGTAAAGTAAACACGGGTCTCCGAGGGTTAGTTCCGTGTACCGGGGTTCCCCTTAACTGCGCGCGCGCGCAATTTCTTGCGAGCGTGACTCCAATTCGGGGAGCCGCTGTTGAGCGAGCCGCGGTTGAGCAGGGCCGCTGTTGAGCACATCGATGCAGCCTCTGTGGAGGCCACCAACGCCCGAGGAGTGTTACGAGATGGCGAAGAGCGCCGCTACCGCCACCACCGCGGAGGAGTACTTGTCTTGCTGGCGCGGCCCACTCGGCGGCTACACGAAGGCCGCGGGCGCCTTCCGGTGGCTGCTCCTCGTCTGCATCCCCGCCTTCGGCCACTGCGCGTCCGCCGTGCCTAGCCCGACGGCGGTGGCCTCGGCCTTCTCGTCTGCTGTCGCCTCAGCAGCCTCCGTCGCCTCGGCAGCGTCCTCTACCTTCTCCGCCGTCGCCTCGAAGGCGTCCTCGCTCGTGAGCTGCTCGCCGCTTCTCATGCCCGCCCTCGTGCTCATCCTCCTCGCCATCGCCTGCGGTGCCTCCTGGCCGACCGCGGCGAGCGGAAAGGGGGCTCGGCGCGGCGTGGCGTGGGCCGTCTGCGTCGCCGCCGCCGCGGCGTGCCTCCCCGGCGCAGCAGCGGCTTCCGCGTCGAGCATGACGGCTGCTGGCATGGACAGCACCGTTGATGCCTTCTCGTCATCGATGCAGCACCCGCGGGAGGCGCTGTGGGCTGCAATACTCGTTATCGCTTTGCAGGTGGCGACGCTGTTGATGCAACTTGGCAGCGCCACCGAACGTTCGCTCGAGTACTCGACCTACGACACAGGGACGTATATGGACCTCGTCGCTGCCTGTCTCAAGGCGGGCGCGATGCTTTCACAAAGTCCAAGCCTCATCCACACATTCCATGGCGACCCACTTGCTGCGTATCCTACTCCGTCCGGCACGGTGTTTGCCACATCGAACCTGACAGCTGCTGGCGATCACTGCTATCACCTGAACGCAAGTTTAGTTGTCGAGGACTGCAGCGGTAAGTGGGATCAGTATGCGCAGTGTGAGCAGCACCTCACCGAGCAGTGGAATCAGCTACCGGAATGCAGTTATTGGAAGGGCGAGCAGTGTGACTTACACACTGCAAACAGGCTCAGGAACGATGCTTGCATGGCGCGACGTCTGCAGTGCCGCAGCGATGAAGCGTTTGACCAGTTAAAAATGGACTGTGCAAGCCTCGGATTGGCGTCTGCAATGGGCGCTTGCTCCTCGCCGCTCGTTGTTGATACGGCGCAATGTGACCTGCCGCACTACCGTGCTCTCGACGTGAGCGAGTCGGCTCAGGTGCATCGACTCAACATGTTGGCCTCGAACAATATCCACTGTTTCGATCCAGTCCGCCTATTCCAAGAGCAAGTTCTTAAATTGCCCATCAGCGCAATTGGCTCATTCATCTTCGTCAACTTCCTGCGTGCCGTAGTAGCGCTGTTCGCCGTTTGTGGGGGCTCGACGGGGCTCGGCGGTGAGACCCCTCGCACCAGCACTCTTGAACCCCTCGCGCACCCAGATACCATCTCCCGACCTAGATCCGCTCCCGACCCTCGCAAACAGGGTGGTTCCTCGAGTCGTTGCTGATGGGCGTATCAATGGGGATTGGCTCGTCGCTCGGCGAATTTGAGGTGCTGGACGGCTGCCTCGTGCTTCCGTCAGATCTCGACGCTCTTGCCGATGCCTCCAGGGGTGGCTCCTCCACCATCATGGAGACCTATTTGCCTCTATTCACTCAAGAGTATTTCGAATGGCTCGGTTCTCTTTGCAAGTTCTTCTTCGTCAGCTGGGTCCTCATCGTTGTCGTTAGCATTGCGGGCGGTTTCAAGCCGTGTGCTACTTGGAAGCTTCCGCAAGTAATAATAACAAATGCTTCCGCGAGTAATGACGGAAGCACGGAAGAAGGTATCGACCTAAGGCCTGCGATGGCTTTCGGAGCACTTGGAGTCGTTGTTGTCGTCGGAGCACTTGGTTTTTTGTGGTTGTACCTGTTTGTCTGGCAGCTCCTCACCTGGTTCTACCTGTTCGCGATGGACGCATTCAGCCCTTTGCAGGGTAACGTGGGCGATTTGGATGCTATCGTGGGCATGTTGGGCACGTCAATTGCATTGTGGAAAGCGATAAAAGAGGAACATCGATTTGGTTACTTCACCTTCATCATGCTCGTCGTTCTCTTCATGACTGTCTACAAGCTCAGCTTTGCAGCGGGGTATGTCATCGACGTATCCTGGGTGGTACCTTGGATCATTATTTGTTTGATTTGTTTTAATTTGAGGAGCGTGGCAGACGTGAGGAACGAGGCAGACGAAGCCACCAAAAAGGCCACCGAAAACGATGAGGCAAAGAAGAAGAAGGCTGCTAAAACCACCAAAAAGGCCACCGAAAACGATGAGGCAAAGAAGAAGAAGGCTGCTAAAACCACCAAGAAGGCCGCCGGAAAGGCGAAGGCGAAGCGAGGGCAGGGGCCAGAGCTCGTGTAGCACACATCATTGCGTGTGCCGGGGGTCGCTGCTTCGATAGGCCATAACGCCTCCGGTGGAGGTCGTTCCGAGCACGATGTGGAGGTCGTTGCACGAGTATATGGGACACGATGTCTCAACTATGAGGGGTTTTGACTCCTACCGGCCCCTGACGCTATCCCTGGCAGCTCTAATGACCAGGGTCAGTAGTGTCGTGATAAGAGGGTGTGTATCGCGCGCCTTGCGGGGGGGGGCGCGGAAAAGAGGAACCTCTTAGCGCCATCGCCATGGTGCTGCAAGCAGCGCCGGGCGACGACGGCTTACCGCCTCCCGGCGGTCCCCCCGCCCTCGGCACACCTCCGCTGCTTAAGTTTGACGACTCGAACCCGTGAAGCTTCCCCGTGCGCGGGTTACCCTGCTTAAGTTTGACGACTCGAACCCGTGAAGCTTCCCCGTGCGCGGGTTACCCCGCACACGGGTCAGCCTGCCAGCCGCCACGTATCCACGCAAGCGTGGTCCGCACGCATGGCATACAGGCGTTCGCCAGACAGCGCAGAGACTACGGCTTTAGGCGACCGGGGAAGGACTAGCTCAAGGGCAACACAGCGTCACCAGCCGTTGGCGCGCAGAACGAGTCTGCAGCCCCCGGTTTCCACGACTTTCTCGCCCACAGAAAACGTAGATACTTTACGTAGTGTCACCGCCCGCCCTAGGCAGGACCCTGTCCAACTCGTACCGTCTCGACCGTACCACTTGTACGTGCCTCTCTGCGAGATCGCGCGAGAGACGCCCCCCACTCCCCTCACGCGCGTCCGCTCTTGCGTCGGGCGGCGTCGAGCCGCCGCATGGCGTTGGCCAAAGCAGCCGCGTGATTGTGCAGCAGCGGCGGCTCGCCCGCCGTGGCGCCGGCCGCCGCGCCGATCTTCTCGCGCTCCGCCGTCAGCCTGGCCACCTCCGCCTCCGCCGCCTCGAGGCTCTCCTCGCCCACGCCGGCCACCGCACCGCCGCCCACCGCACCGCCGCCGCCGCCGCCGCCGCCGCCGCCGCCGCCGCCGCCGCCGCCTCCGTCTCCAGCGGCCGCGCTGCGCGTGAAGCCGAGCAAGCTCTGCCCGCCCTCTTCTGGCTTGCGGGCTCGGGCGGCGGCGCGGCCAGCCCGTAGAGCCGCCAGCCATCCGGCGTGGTGAGGACGCCCGGCGAGGAGGCACGCGTGTGTTTGCCAAACCGCATGTCCTGACGCTGGCTATGCGAGAGGATCCGGCCGAGCAGCGCCGGCTTGTCGGCTAGGTCCGCCTCCTTGGTCGCCTTGCCGCTGCTCTCGCGCACCTTGCCCGAGGAGCGCCGGTGTCGGGTCATCTCGGGTCATCTCGGGTAGTCGCCGGTCATCGCCGGTGATCTCGGGTGATCGCCTGCCCGATGAGCGCCGGCAGCAGCCGCCGCTCGCACAGCAGCCGCAGGTCGACGGGCGTGCCGCGCTGCACAATCTAGTCTCGGGTGTCTCGGGTCATCTCGGGCCATCTCGGCCCACCTCCGATCATCTCGGGTGATCTCGCGCAACCTCCTCGGGAGACGCGACGTTCTCAAACTGCTTGCCGCCGCCGCCGCCCTGCCGCCGCACCGCGCAGAAGGGCACATACTCGCCGAGCCGGAACGAGCGTGTCGCCCGCCCGTCCGCCGTCGCGCTCCGCTGCAGCAGCTCGATCGCGAGGCTGATGGCGTTCTCCTTGCGCAGCGTCTCGTCCTCCGCCGCCTGGTTCTTTTGCTCGGCCGCGCTGAGCTTCTTGGCCGCCCCCTTCTTCTCGGGCACGGCCAGGCCCGCCATGCGGCACAAGTCGGTCTGGTCCGCGCGCTTCACAAAGCCTCCCTCGACCAGCAGGTGCGACGACACCTCGGGACACGTCGCGGACGTGTCACACAAGGGCACGACTGCGGGCTATCCGACCAGCGGCTGCAGCTACGACACCTCGCCCATCAGCAGCCTGCTGCAGGCCGCCTCGCAGTACGACAGCGCCGCGGCGCGGTCACCGTCCACCAGCAGCCGCTCGAGCGCGCCGCGCACCGCGTCGGCCACGTAGGCGCACTGCCGCCGCTCGATGAGCCCCTTCTGGTGCAGCGCCGGCCGCGGCTCCAGGCCGCTGACGTACTCGGCGCCGGCGTACCTGGGGGAGGTAGAGGGGGGGGGGGACGGGGGCGGACACGTCGGGGGCCGGGGCAGCACGTCGGCAGGCGCGCCGGTTGTGCGCGTCGAGCAGGGGGCAGAGGACTCTCTCGTACCTGCTCACAGCTGGAGGTGTGAAGAGACGCTGTTCACCGCTAGAGGGCGCAGCACGCTCTCGTACTCGAGCGTGAGGGCGGTTGGCGTAGAGGACGGCCGCGCCCGGGAATTGGCCGGCCAGGTCCTTGTCCGCGGCCTCGCGCAGCTGCTTGACTCGCCGCTTGACGTTGCGCCGCTCGACGAGCAGCGCCTGAAGCAGCCAAATCTCGGCTGCATCTCGGCTGCATCTCGACGAGCAGCGCCTGAAGCAGCAGAGGCAGCAGCCCGGCGTGGTGCTCCGCCGCCACAAAGGCGATCGCGTCGCCCCTCCAATCCCTCGTGTCGCGGTCGCCGACGGCGAGCGGCACGCGTGTGTTTGGGCCGACCGTGGGTGTCGGGTGTGTGCACAGGCCGCGAGGACGGGGGGAAGCAGTGCAAGCACCTGGGACGACGGAGGGTTGGAGGACGGCGGAGGAGACTCATACCAATAGCGGATTTATTTTCCTGCTCAGCGCAAATTATATCATCCCACAAAGCACAATTCAACAAGATATTGTAATGTGTTGGTCAAGCTTACCCGGCCGCTGACTTTTCTCATGTCAGATTACCCGGTCGACCAAATTTCTCGTCCAGTTTACCCGGCGGCACGTGGTCGTAAGGAGAGCTCCTACTCGGGAATCCCCGCCCGGCCTCGTTTGCTTGAATGACCGCACAGCCGGCGCCAGGCCGGCACAAACATCCCACTGGCACTCCAAGCATCTTGGCGAGCACGCGCGCACTCACTCCCGCCCCTCAGCCGTGCTGCATGGTGGCCACGATCGTGTCTGCCAGCCCCTCGCCCGGCCGTAGGAACTGGGGGCGAGGGCGGTGGGGGCGAGGGAGGTGGGGGCGAGGGAGGTGGGGGCGAGGGGGGTGGTGGGCTAGGCGGTGGGGGCGAGGGGGGTGGTGGCGAGGGTGGTGGGGGTGAGGGCGGAGGCGGGCTTGGTGGCGGCGGCGAGGGAGGTGGAGGCGAGGGGGGCGGTGGGCTAGGCGGTGGGGGCGAGGGAGGCGGTGGCGAGGGCGGTGGGGGTGAGGGTGGAGGCGGGCTGGGTGGCGGCGGCGAGGGAGGTGGAGGCGAGGGTGGTGGAGGCGAGGGTGGCGGCGGTGAGGGCGGCGGCGGTGAGGGCGGTGGGGGCGAGGGTGGGAAAGATGGCAGTGGAGGTGAGGGTGGCGGCGGTGAGGGCGGTGGGGGCGAGGGCGGCGGCGGCGAGGGCGGTGGGGGCGAGGGCGGTGGGGGCGAGGGCGGCGGGGGCGAGGGCGGTGGGGGCGAGGGCGGCGGCGGTGAGGGTGGCGGCGAGGGCGGTGGAGGCGAGGGTGGTGGCGGTGAGGGCGGCGGTGGTGAGGGTGGAGGCGGCGGCGGTGAGGTCGGTGGGGGCGAGGGGGGCGGTGGGCTAGGCCTCGTCTCGCTCGATTGACCCGGAGCCGTCCGCGTCAAACACGGCCCAGATCGCGTCGACGGTGGAGCGCATCTGCTGCACGCGCGTGGGCGATGTGGAGAGGCCTACAGGAATTCCGAGACGGTTCCGAGAAGGCGCACGGGAGTCGAGCGCGCGGGCGGCGTGGGGGAGGCCGAGCGTCTTGACGAGCGCGCGAACCACCTCCTCCTTCTCGAGTGAGCCCGAGTTGTCCTCATCCCAGTAATTGTACCAGCCCAGCTTGTCGCGCGCCTTTAGGAGAGGTGGCCGAAGCTTCCGGGAAGGCTCCCAATGCCTGCACCGCCCCAACCTACCGCGCGCCATGTCCGGGATGGGGCCCTTGCCGCCGCCCGACGAGGCGAAGACCTGTCCACAGAAAAAGAAGGTGCTCCGCTCATGCCAGCCGCGCTGTCTCCGTTGCGATCCCGGCGAGGCGAGGCCTGCTGCACGAAAGCGACGAGGCCGGGCGCCTCTGCACGCTCGATGAAGCCCGACCGGTCCTACATAGGGAGGCTCCCAGAACGGGTGCGCGGAGAGGGCGACAGAGTGGAGGCGAAGACGGGGTCGGCGGCGAGGGCGGCGGCGGCGAGGGCGGCGGCGGAGACGGTGGTGACGAGGGCGGCGGCGGCGAGGGCGGCGGCGAGGGCGGCGGGGAGGCTGGAGGCGAGGGCGAGAGCGGCGGCATGCCGGTTCGCCGGGCAAGAGAGGGGAGGGAGAGCGGTCCTTGTCCCACTGCTCCCACAGCCAATGCGACGGGTCGGCCAATGCGTCATCCAGCTTCGCGGCGTCGATCGGCAGCTGCGCCTGCAGCGAAGGTTCGGAGAACCGGTTCCGAGAAGAGCCCTGCCCACCAGCCTTCTCCGCATCGGCGGCTGCGCCTTGAGCGCCTCGATCAGCTCGTGCCTCGAGAGGCGCCCGTCCCCGTTGACGTCGACCACGCGCCACCAAGCCTGCAGGTCCGCCCGCAGGTCCGGCACGGCCAGCACCGACGAGATCGGCAGGCGCGTGAGCGGACAGTGCCTGCAGGAAGGTTCCGAGAAGGGTTCCGACGAGAAGGGCGAAGGGTCCGAGAAGGTTCGGAGGAGCGGTCTTCCCTCAGCCCGACCGCGTGCAGGTGCGCCTCTCCGCCCGGAAAGGCGAATCTCGGCGAATCTCGGCGAATCTCGGCGAATCTCGGCGAATCTGGACCCGTTGCCGCTCCGCAGCCACTCCTGCGCCGCGCCGAGGTTGAAGAAGTGGTTGGAGACGCGCCGCCCGCCGGCGAGGAAGACACCCACCGGACCGCTCGCCAGCGGCTCGAAGCAGATCGGGCACTCGGCGTGCCGCAGCGCCTGGCCGTCCTGCCATGTGGGCGCCACCGGCGACGCGCCTGTCGCCGTGTCGAGCGGAGCAGTCGAAGCGACGGGCGCCCTCGGTGCTCGAAGAGAGCGCGATCGCATCGGCGATACGGGGAGTCCCATCGGGACGTCCGGCGGCGGCGTGGGCGGCGGCTCCTGCTGCGGCACCTCAACAACGAACGTCTGGCCCGCCTCCACGCCAACTGGGATCACCGTGGTGAACATCTGCCCGCCCGAGGTGGAGGGGAAGGTCACGGTCTGGCCGGGGGACATGCCCGCAGGGACACGCACAGCGAGCTTCATGCTCATCGCAGCCCGCGGACGCAGGCTTGTGCGCTGCTGCTGCTGCTGCTGCTGCTGCTGCTCTGCAGCTGCTGCAGGAGAGGGGGTGTGGTGCGCTAGCCGCGGGCGATGGACTCGACTCGGATATTCTTTTCCCTGTGTCGAGCCTGTGTGCTGTGAGAGAGAGTTGTCTTGTTTAAATTCTTTTTCCTTCGCGGCACGCGATGGCGGCAAGCCCTCGTGCACGCCCGCCCTCGACACGCCGAAGACCAACCGGCGACGGACCGCGGTGAGACCGCGCCGCCCTCCGCGCCCGCCCGCGCCCGCAGCGTGAACACATGCGCGCGTCCCTCTCCGCACGGAAACTTGCGCGCCAGCCGCGCAGCAGCCTCACATGCAGCGCGCATTGGCATGCTCGCCCCCTGGGCCGCCGACGGCCCGGTCGAGCGGGCTGCGCGGCCGCCGCACACCATCAGGCAGGCGCACGACCACCTGCAGCACGCCGCAGCCCACCGCGCAGCCCTCCCAGCCAAGGCTGCGCCTCACAGCTCCACAAACAGGGCGCACAGCAGAGCACAACGCATAGCACACGCCGACGCGCGCGCAGCACACGCAGACTCACGCGCGAATCCAACACGCACACGCGCACAGCACGCGCGCATCGCACGCCAGCGCAGCGCTGCACACAGAGCACACTAGACCATACCAGTGGTACTGGTACCATCGCCTCTGAGAGGCACCACCCCTCGGGGAGGGGGCGCGTCCGCCCAGCGGCCAGCGCCTTCGCCCAGCGAGCGTACCCGCAGCGCCCGGGGAGCGAGCGTCCGCCCTGCGGCCAGCCCGCTCTCCCCGCACGGCGTCGACCGCCCCCAAAGCGAGACAGGATGCACCCGCATAGTTAGCCGCTACGGCTCTATACGGGGGCATCCTCTCCCCCATCCGCATGTGAGGAACTGCGTACTACACTGCGTCACCCTCCCCAGCATCAGTGGGTTGCCTTTTGGGGTCTGAGCCCAACGGAGAAAAAAGAAAAGTGACCAAAATCGGCCCTGGATGTGCGGTTAATGACTGTGCACTCCAAGTGCTCCAAGTGCTCCAAATCGAAATCAGAAACCACGCGAGATCCACGTCTCCCGCCCCTCGGCTCTCGCGCGAGCCACGATCTCCTGCCCGATGTCCGAAAACGGAAGCACGAATAGCCGGACACAGGAACGGCACAGCTCAACGGCAGAAATCCCACACACATCCACTCACCTCTCGCACGAACAGTCGAACAGGTTCCCAGAGCCGGACGCAGGAACGGCACTGGCCAAAACACACCCACACCTGACGCACGAACAGGTACGAACAGCCGGACGAAGGAACGGCAGCCGACACACCCAGCCGGGGCAAGACAGAAGGCCGCCGAGGGGAAAGGGAGTTCGCAACTAAACGGCCGAAGCGGGTATCTCTCCAGTTCACGCCCGCCGACCCCGATGCACCTTATTACCCGAACCCCCTACCTGCAAGCCCACCGAGAGGGGTAGGGGTCAGCCTTGTTCAATTAAACACGAGTTCCACCGTAGCGCCGCATAACTCTAAGCGCGCGTGTGAGCGAGGGCAGAAATGCAACGCTCACGCGGTCCCGGGCTCGGTCCTCCCACATTCTCTAAATGATGAGTCTCGCTCTCCCTTATACAATAAGCTATAAGGGGCCTCTGCGAAATAAAAAGCGGAGGCCTCAGTGGGAGCGAACTCTAGAAACGTTGGAACCCATCCGAGCTCGATGGCGATGCGGCAGAGCTGAAATTTGGCAAAGGTGAGGGCGTAGCCATCGGCCGTAATGTCGTTGCCGTGCTCGTCTTTTCGGATCGGCAGCAAGTTCGCCGGCTCGCAGACCACGTCGACCGACCGGAGCTTGACGCACTCGTCAGTGAGCAGCGTGACGGCCCCGACGGTGACGTTGAAGCGGTGGGCGCTGCGGAAGAGATTGATCGTGAATGGCAGGGCCTCCAGCGTTGCGATGGTGAAGATGAAGCGCCGCCTCGGGCCGTCGGTGTGCAGTGCGCCTTGCACCGCCAGCTTCTGCATCACCTGCGTCAGGTTATTGCGCCCATAGAAGCCGCTCATGGTCGCTGCCAAGTGCTCCTGCAGCTCTCCAGCGTCGACCTTCTCGTGCCGATAGAAGGTATCCGCCCTCTTCCGATGCGGTCGCTTCCAGCCCTCTTTGACATAGCAGGACGTGCCCGCCACACCCGTGGCTTTGACGATGGGCTCGATGTGAATCTCGCAGGCCGCTTTATTGTCCTTCACCTCGAACGCCCCGCAGGTTGGGTCCATGGCGCACAGCTCTCTGCATCGGGTGAGTTCCACCCGTTCCGTCGCATAGCTTCCAGCCGCGTCACTCGCTGTGCGGCAGGCTCCCTGAAAGAACCGGAAGGCATTGCCGCTCGCAGCCGGCATCGGCTGAGGGACCTGCTGCGGCTGGATCTGCAGCTGCGGCTGCGGCTGCGGCTGCGGCTGCGACTGGATCTGCAGCTGCGGCTGCGGCTGCGACTGGATCTGCAGCTGCGGCTGCGGCTGCGGCTGGATCTGCGGCTGCGGCTGCTGCGTTTGTTGCGGCTGCAGCTGCTGCGGCTGCGGCTGGGCGCGAAGGGTTTCGAGCTCCGCCCGCAGCTTCCTGATCTCAGCACCGTGCTCCTCGAGCTGGACATTGTGCTGGGCTTCAAGCCTAGCCATGAGGCCGGCGTTGCCCCCAACCGCGTGCGATTTGCGGTGCGGCCCTTGATGCTCGCCAGCGTGCGCAAGGGCTGACGGCATGTGGCGTGCAGGCCGTACAGTCATACGGCGTTGGTGCGCTGGTGCAGGCCGTACAGTCATACGGCTTGGAGCCATGCCTGTAGAGAACATGCTGTGCAAGCCGGCGCCGATGGCAGCAGCAACGAGGTACTGGAGGATCCGAGCGACCACTGTAGGGCCGGACGAGTCGCGCATGGCTCCGGCGCGCACCGGCAGCACGCCGCGCTGCGCAGATCGGCGAGGCCTTGTGCAACGTGCGTGACGCCCATCCCAAAGGCGCTGTTGTGGCGGCGGCGCTTTATGCGTCGTTCGCTTCTGCTGCTGTTCGCGGGCGCGCCGCTGGCCTACGCGCCAGCCGCGCTGCAAGGCAAGGAGCTTTACGAGGCGCTCTATGCGACCGGCTGGGGCAAGGACACGCGCGTAAGCCAGGGCGCGAAGTTGCTGCACACCATCAGGAATATGAGACGGCAAGGTGCCGCCATCGATTCGGTGCTGGACGTGGGCTGCTCGCACGGCAATGTGGTCGCGGAGCTTTGGCAGTCGGGCATCGTGGCGTCTGGCGTGGACATTGCCCGTGGGGCCGCCGACTTGGCAACCTCGCTGCACAAGCCGCCACACGGCCGCGCGAGCTGCAACGGCGAGGGCAGGCCGTGCTTCCAGGCGGCCAGCGCCACAAGCCTGCCCTTTCGCGATGGCGCATTCGATGCGATTGCGAGCTCTGACGTCCTCGAGCACGTGGATCCGTCCGATGTGCGTGCGGCGACGGCCGAGTTTGCCCGCGTGGCGCGAAACTTTCTCGTCCTCAAGATTGCCAACCGTCCCGAAGGCAGCACGCTCTCGGGCTCGCGCGCGGGCGTCGGCAAATTTCAGGGGCGCACGTTTAAGGACGCGTTGCATCAGCAGGGCTACGCGGACCGATTACCGACGCAGCTGCACACGACCGTCAAGGGTAACGAGTTCTGGCACGAGGAATTCAGGCGGGTGGGCTTTGCGCTGAATCGGACAATACCCGATGCTTCGTGGGCATGCTGCGCCTACGTGCTCCACCGCATCGAGCCGTATCGTCCGTCGAAAGAGTGAACACGGCGGCGATTCTTTCGGTGGGGCGACACGGGGAAGCGGCATGCGCAGGGCGCCGCGCATGGTGCTGTCGCGCAGCCGGTACACTGTAAACTCAGCGGCGGCTCCGTCGCGCGCACAGTCCCACCGGACAGACTGCGCTGCGGACTGAGCTCATGAGAGGCGCGATGCTCACGGAAGGGACCGGACCCATGACGGTTATTGCACACCAGGCCTTTTTACTGTGGTCGCATTGCCTGTGCAAAACACTGCACACGTACACTCTTGACGCGATCGGACTCGCACGGGTCCGCGCACACACACCGCCGCGCCGGCCGCCCACGCGGCGGGCTCACGGCATCAGGACCAGCTCGCACACACGGACTTCTTGGGGCTCCCTGTACACTGTAGCATTCGTCGTTCCCCGCGCACACGCGCCACACAGCCCACACATGCGCTCCCCGCTCCCGTTCCCCTGTGTCCCTGATCGTCCTTACAAGATCCTGCTCGTGCAGGTGGGGACCCTGTCCTTCTCCCACCCCTCGTTTGGCGTCTACGTTTTTTATTTATTTAAATCGCACGGCGCCTAGGAAGGCACCCACAAATCGCCCCAACAGCGATGGTGGGAAAACGGGCTGGTGCACGAGAGCTTGGCGCAGGTTCCCTGAGCTGCTCCGACGCGGTCGTGCTAGCGGCGGAGCGAGGCGAGGAGGAGGCGTTGCTGGCGTGGCTCGAAGGCGGCGGGCGGGCCGACGCGACGTACGAGAGAGGCGGCGTGAGCGGCCTCACGCTGCTGATGGACGCCGCCCTTAGCGGCAACGAGCGGGTGGTCGAGTTGCTGCTGCGGCACGGGGCGAAGGTCAACCAGCAGAGCAGCAGCGGCCTCACCGCGCTGATGCTCGCCGCCTTCTTCAACCACCCCGCCGTCATGCGCCGCTTGTGCTGCGGGCGGGCGCTGACACGGCAGCGCGCAGTGCGAGAGGCCAGACAGCGCTGCAGCTGGCCAAGGAGCAGGGCTACACCGAGTGCGTCAAGGCCTTGTCGGAGGCGGCCTCGGAGGGCCGGGCAGGGGCGGGCGGCGCCACCTCGGGCGCGGCAGCGGCAGCGGCAGCGGTGGACGCGCCGCTGCTCGGACAGCGAGTCGAGCTCGGCGGCCTCTCTGCCCGCCCCGAGCTGAACGGGAAGCGGGGCGTGGCGCAGAGCTTCGAGGGCGGGCGGTACGCGGTGGCGCTCGAAGGCGGCGGCGAGAGCGTGCGGGTGCGGCCGGGCAATCTGTCTCCAGCGGTGTTGAGCGGTGGCGTGGCAGCCCCCGATGCGGTCGTGGCAGCGGTTGAGCGAGGCGAGGAGGAGGCGGTGCTGGCGTGGATTGACAGCGGCGGGCGGGCCGACGCGACGTACGAGAGAGGCGAGGTGATACGCACGCTGCTCATGGGCGCCGCCCTGCTCGGCCACGAGCGGGTGGTCGAGCTGCTGCTACGGCACGGCGCGGAGATCAACCTGCAGAACAGCGACGGCTGGACCGCGCTGATGAGCGCCGCCGGCAAAGGCCACGAGTGGGTGGTCGAGCTGCTGCTACGGCACGGCGCGGAGATCAACCTGCAGAACAGCGACGGCTGGACCGCGCTGATGAGCGCCGCCGGCAAAGGCCACGAGTGTGTGGTCGAGTTGCTGATACGGCACGGCGCGGAGATCAACCTGCAGGACAGCAATGGCCTCACCGCGCTGATGTTCGCCGCCAGCTTCAACCGCCCCGCCGTCGTGCGGCGCTTGCTGCGGGCGGGCGCTGACACGGCAGGCCCCGAGCTCAATGGAATGCGGGGCGTGGCGCGGAGCTTTGAGGGCGGGCGGTACGCTGTGGCGCTCGAAGGCGGCGGCGAGAGCGTGCGGGTGCGGCCGGGCAATCTGTCTCCAGCGGTGTTGAGGGGTGGCGTGGCAGCCCCCGATGCGGTCGTGGCAGCGGTTGAGCGAGGCGAGGAGGAGGCGGTGCTAGCGTGGATTGACAGCGGCGGGCGGGCCGACGCGACGTACGAGAGATGCGAGGTGATACGCACGCTGCTGATGGTCGCCGCCCTGCTCGGCCACGAGCGGGTGGTCAAGCTGCTGCTTCAGCACGGCGCGGAGGTCAACCTGCAGAACAACATCGGCGAAACCGCGCTGATGTGCGCCGCCGGCAACGAGCGGTTGGTCGACTTGCTGCTCCGGCACGGCGCGGATGTCAACCTGCGGGACAGCCTCGGCTACACCGCGCTGATGAACGCCGCCTTCTTCAACCACCCCGCCGTCGTGCGGCGCTTGCTGCGGGCGGGCGCAGACACGGCGACGCGCACCACGAGCGGCATGACGGCGCTGCATTGGGCCAAGGAGAAGGGCCACGCCGAGTGCGTCGAGGCCTTTAGGCAGCACGTCAAGGAGGCGGTGGTGGCGGGACGGCCCACGGCGACGGCAGCCGGTGGCGAAGGCGCAGGCGGCGCCTCCTCCGGCGGCGCTTCCTCGGCTGGATCGAGAGTCGCGAAGACGCTATCTCCAGCCCTGGCAGGCCACGAGCGGGTGGTCGAGCTGCTGCTCCGGCACGGGGCTAAGGTCAACCTGCAGAACGGCATCGGCATCACCGCGCTGCTGCTCGCCGCCGGCCAAGGCCACGAGCGGGTGGTCGACTTGCTGATACGGCACGGCGCAGAGATCAACCTGCAGAACAGCGTCGGCCTCACTGCGCTGATGCACGCCGCCTTCCACGACCACCCCGCCGTCGTGCGGCGCTTGCTGCGGGCGGGCGCAGATGCTGCGGCGCGCAGTGCGAGCGGCAAGACGGCGCTTCAGTGCGCCAAGGAGAAAGGTCACGCCGAGTGCGTGCGCGCCCTCGAGGAGCACTCGTCGACCGCAGCAGAGGCTGAGGGGGAGACGGCGGTCGCAGAATCAGCCGAGCAGGCCGCGGCGGCCGCACGCGAGGCGGCAGCGGCGGCGGCGGCGGCAGAGGCGCGCGATGCTGCCGAGGCGGCGCTGCGCGAGGCGGTCGAGGCGTGCGAGCGAGGCGATGCCGATCTCGAGGCGCTCAGGGCGGCGATCAATGCGAACACCGAAATCGCCGACGGCTCCGAGGCGCTGCGGGCGGCGCGGCAGCTGCGCGACGAGCTGGCGGAGCGCAGGGCCCGCGAGGCCAGGGCGCTGAAGCGGCAGCGGCAGAAGGAGGAGAAGGCTGCGGCGAGGCAGGCGGAGGCGTCTGAAGCGGCGGCGGAGGAAGCGCGGGCGGCGGACGAGGCGCGGGCGGCTGACGAGGCGCGGGCGGCTGAGGCAGCTGCGGAGGCTCGGGCGCGCGGAGCGCGAAAGAGCGGAGCGGCTTCTCGGGCAGGGAGGAGCAGAGCGAGGCAAAGGGAGAGCAGAGCGAGGCCAGGGAGTAGCGGCAGGAGAGGGATAACGAGGAAAGGCGTATCGAAGGCGAGCGGCGCGGAGCGGCGCGAGCCGCGCTTTAAAGCGCATGGCGGCTGTGCGCGCGGAGCTCAGAGCGCGCACGAAGCGCGCAGC